GTTTTTGTCTCCCCCGGTTCCAGGCTTCGAGCCATGGTCAACTACATGGGAGTCCAGAGACACAACCATTACACCATCTGCTGGTCCTTCTTTTTTTTCTTTTTTAAGAGAGATTTTTGCTATAGGGTGTGTGCACTCGCCGGGGAGACAGTAACAGAATGACAGAAAGAGACAATTCACTCCCCGGGGGATGGCCACACCACAATCCTTTCTCCCTATCTCCTTTTGGAATTTTGGGCACGCACGCACATGTGCCCAGTGAGTTTCAAGCTGCTGGGTCTGGGATTTGAACCACGGTTGAATATGTGGAAGTCCAGTGACATAGCCATTACGCCACCTGGGGCTCCCCAGCATGCTATTTTAAGATGACCACGGAGGCTGCTCGTGGGGGCTTGAAAGGGTCTAGACTGGCAGCTGGGGAAGGTGACACCCTGGTGGCGGGCAGCAGTCAGGGACAGCCGGCATCTGGCCAGGCTCACCTGACAACCAGGAAGGGAAGCAGCCAGGCGCTGTGCCAGGGTGAGGGGTGCGGGGTGTGAACAGGCTGCTGAGAGGTAGGATGGTGGGGCCTGCAGACGCGTTCCCAGCGAGGTGGACACACAGGAGGAAGCGGCCTGTAGCCGGGCATGCAATCCCTCCGGCCATGGAGCATAGAGCAGCCCATCGCCCTATGTGCTGGCACCGAGAAACAAACAGAAAGTGACTAATTCCCACTCAGTGTGCGGGGTGCCCCTGGGCCGCAGTGGCGGGGGCTGGATAGGCCTGATGTCCCGGGGAGGTCCAGGCATGCTGCAGGGCGTGAGGACGACTCCTGAGCAGGGCGGCCTGCCCGACTCACACCTGGGCGCTCTTACTAAGGGGGGCTTGGGCTGGGGTAAAATGACTAGGAGAGCCCCAGAACAGAGCCAGGGGCTAACAGGGGTCAGCACCCCCACCCCGATTCAGTGGGCATCAAACAGAGGGTGGACATCACAGGGAGGGGACAGGGCAGGGACCTGTGTCTGGACAAGAGCCAGGGGCAGGCCCTCCACAGCCACATATGCCTGAGCACCAGGAGCAGGGAGCTCAGTGGGCCAGGGCTGGTGGGCCCAGCCCTCCTGGGAGCTGGTTTGCACCATGGCTGTGGGTGAGCGGGCAGGTTGTAAAAACGCAGGTCCCTGGGAGTCAGGCTGCCTGGGGGCGGTGCCCTAACTCTTGCACCTTAGCGAGCCTCACCTGCCCCCTCACCTGCCCCGTCCTACAGCTGAGCTCGCATGTCCTAGACAGCTGAGCTCGCACGTACTGCCCAAGGGGAGGCCTAATCGGTGAAGCACTGCCTCTTGGAAGGAGAGAAGTAATGGCGATTCTTTTCCCCTTCAATCTCGCATTGAAATTTGGCGGCTTTAAGAGGTAATTCAATAGAACAGTAACGTTTTCAGTGGTCGGGCAGCTCCCGTCACCCGGGTGCACACGGTGTTGCCTTGAAAGCACCGCTCCATGGGGATGCAGTAGGAAAAACTGTGGGCGGGGAGGGGGGGGGTGGCAGTTACTGCCTTTTAACTTAGCTAGATATTTTCTGTTTTGTTTTTGCTATAGGGCATGTGCACTCACCAGAGAGAGGGAGAGGCAGGCAAAGTGCAAAACTACCCCCCAGGGGGGATGGCCGTGCTCAAATCCCTCCTCCTCCATTCTCCTCTCAGCGTTTTGGGCACAACCGCTGAGTCTGGGACTGGAACCATGCAGCCAGCCATGTGGGAGCCAGCGCTCCAACCTCCATGCCATGTGCAGGCCTGCAAGCTGATTTATTCACAAACGAACGAGCCAGAGCTCTTTTCGAATATTCGGGATGCCGTGCGGGGAGTGAGATGGCTTCCCTGTTGGGGACGAGATGAACCTGGAACGCACAGAGTGTGGTCAGCCAGCCCTGCAGGTCACCAGGGAGGCGTCTCTCGGGGCACTCTTCCTGACACAAGCCATTCGACCCACTTAAAAACTCCAGATCTCACTGGTGTCCTAGTCAAAGCAGTGTTGCACTGTAACTTGGGGGGAGGGGTGAAGCTGGCCGGGCTGGACTGGTTAGGTGGGTAGTTTGGCTGTTCTCCTCCTTTCTCCAGCACCAAACAGCAGCCCCTAAAGGCTGCCCAGTCACTGCTGTACTGGCTGTGAGCAGCAGGGGGCAGCACAACACCCTTGCAGACGGCCATTGGAAGGAGCTGAATTTATTTCTAGTTTGCACTCACCAGATAGAAAAAGTGAGAAATCACCCCCCAGGAAGGGTGGCCACCCCACAATCCCTTCTCCCCGACTCTCCTCTCAGGATTCTGAGTGCATGCATACATTCACATGTGACTGTCAAGCCACAGTGTCCGGGATTTGAACTGCGCGGTTGGACCTGTGGGATCCGACCACCTTAGCCTCCATGCCACTTGTGGGCCCAGTCAGGCTTTGACTTAAACTATTTTCATCATTTGGAGAATCTTGCAGAAGACAATGAGTGATTTTAGTTAGTGATTACAAAACCAAAAAACAGACACAAGTAACCAGTTATTCCCTGACAAGAAACGTAGTGATGCCCTGTGGAGAAACTGATGATTCAGCTGCCTGCCTGCTTGACCTGAAACACCATCGAAGGGACTTGAACTTCTACAAGCAGTTTTCGGTCTCTCCCCTCACAGCGTTATGTCCAGGGGGCAGCCCTTGCGCCTGATAGGTTATTCACTGACAGCTGTTTCTGCCTTATCTAATCTGGCGAGCTCGTCATTATCAATTTATGGAGAAATGCTGAAGACTACAATTCCCTGCTTTTTTTTTTAAAGAGATGTTTGCCATAGGGCACATGCACTCACTGGAGAGACAGAGAGACAGTAAGAAATCACCCCCCAGGGGGAATGGCCACGCCACAATCCCTTCTCCTCCATTCTCCTCTCGGGATCTTGGACACACATGCACACACGCCTGGCGTGAGTTTAAGTCACCGGGTCTGGGACTCGAACCACGGCCGACTTATATGGGAGTCCAGCGACGTAACCATTACGCCACCTGCTGGTCCCTCACAATTCAGAGACCAACTTTTCACCGCTGTGATTTCTGCTGTTTCCTCTTCTAGAACTCATGTAGCAGCATTTCCATGAGCCACGGTGACAGTGACCAGAGACCCTGGCTGTTTCCTTACTCCTGATCTGGTGTTCTTGATCCGGCCGGAAGGCACACCTGCCACCTCGCACAGCGTCCTCAGGGTGCAGCGGCCTGCCCACAAGCCTACAGGTGCAGCCTGCGTGCGCTCCGGGAAGCCAGGCCAGGCGCCTCACCTCCTGCGTCCGCCTGGACCGTCAGTGAACAGCGGCCAGGGGCGGCTTGGGAGCAGTGGCCCAGCTCACGAGGGTAACAGTACGGGCCTGTGAAGACTGTGGGCACTGACACCCTGAGCTGGAGTCGGGCCCGTCACCTAATGGCCGAGGGCTGACCAGCAAGGTACTGACCTGCAAGATGGGACGACACCTGCTTCCTATTCGGGACACACCTACCATGTGTCAAGTGCTGCTTTAAGACTTGGCGATCTGGTGCGTTAACTTTTGCTGTCACGAAGCCAACACTTCACCAGGGACGACGGACATGGGAAGACCAGCCACTTGTGAGTGATGCGGGTGTGAGGAAGCCAAGCAGGGTGTGGGATGGGTGGGCGCAGCGGGGTGCCCTTCACCAGCAGTGGTCAGGGAAGGCTGTAACATCCGGGGACAATGGGGGCGAGGGGGTCACTGTGGAGGCCCTACTGGAGCACAGCAGGGCGTGAGGTGGGGGTGGGGGGCCAGATCCTGGAGAGCCCCGAGCGTTCATCCACGTGTCTGCCTAAGCGCTTGTGCAGGCCAGGGGTTGAGGCTGGACAGATCAGGCCTTTGTGGGCTCAGGAGGCAGGGGGGCCCTGGCCAAGCGGGGCGAGACTCCCATGGACACAAAGGGAGCCTGGATCCCTGCAGGGGGAAGACGTTTCCTGGGTTTCCATCAACAGTCGAGGCTGATTTTCTTTCAAGACTATAAAGTGATGACACATCCGAGTTTTTAAAATGGGTTCGTTTTCTTTTGGGACTACAGAAAAGCTGCCCAAGACCCCTGGGCTATTACACTTACCATAGGAGGCTTGGACCAATTTAACATGTGCCTTTATTGCTTTCATTATAAAAGAGAAGCACATTACAAACACTTTGAAAAGGAAAAAAAAAAATATCCACCACCCTACCACAAAAACTGCATTAGCACTTTGGTATATTTCTTTCTGGACTTCAGATTAACCTGCAGTTTAATACTGGGGGTTCCAAGCATTACGAAGACACGAATAGGCTGGTTCTTCCTGTCCTAGGGAAATATTTGCACTCTTCAAAGCATTTGTTTCTCCTTTCAGCAGAAAAGATGGAAAAACATTATAGTTACACAGACGAATTCTCCACACTGGCCACCACCTCTGGTCAAAAGTGACTTTTTCTAGAACATTCAGTCCTACTGCTTCGAATGAAATATTGAAGAGAAGGAAATCCTAGGATCGACTGACTCACTGGGTTCACAGAAGAGGGAACAAAGGCAAAGACCCACCTCTGCTTGCTTAGAAACGTCTGGAAGCAGAGGATGCCACCTGCATGATTACTGGGGAACTGAACTTGACAGGAGTGGGGGCAGGGGAAGACCTTACGCTGTGTGTGCTCACGCATGCGCACGTCAGAGGATGTTTTTACACCCTTATCTGAAAGCCAACTCAGCAGACAGCGCAACAGCACAGGCACGACTCCTAGACCTGTATTCTAAAACACTTTGAGATGTCTTCGACTTTATATGCAGAAAAATGTGTGTTTTTCTAACTCCTAGGGGACTAACATGGTCATTTTTTCGGTTTTGCTGGCTATTTTAGATTCCCTTTGTGCTTCCCATCTTTGAGACCTCGCAGCACCATGGCCGGCACTTCAGTTCGCCTTTCCTATCGGATGCAGTGCTTTCAAGGTAAGCTTTACTGAAGAGAGATGTAAATAAGAAGAGCCTCGGGGGACCAGCAGTTAGCGTAATGGCTATGTCGCTGGACTCCCATGTAGTCGACCACGGTTCGAGTCCCGGACCCGGTGGCTTAAACTCACGCCGGGCGCGTGTGCGTGTGTGCCCGAGATCCCGAGAGGAGAATGAAGGAGAAGGGATTGCGGCGTGGTCATCCTCCCTTGGGGGTGATTTCTCGCTTTCTGTCTCTGTCTGTCTGTCTGGTGAGTGCACGCGCCCTTCAGCAAAAATCTTTCCAAAAAAAAAAAGAGCCTCGGACGGGACAGGCCAGTTTAAGCCGTTGATGAGATGACAAAGAACCAAAAACTAAAAATGCTAGCTTCCATTTGGGATTTCCAGATATACTCTTAGAGAAGGAATGTTTCTCAAAGCTGCACAAGAATCGTAGGGACCCCTTCACCCCCACTTTCATGAAACAGTCCCGAAGAGAGAGCGGAATACTATTTTCAGACGTAATTACCAGATGAAACCGCTCACCGCGGAGAAAGCTTCCATCACACACCAGCCTGATTAAAACCCGTCGCCCAAAATCACAACCCGGGGTTGCAAGAGCCAGAATTGAAATAGCAAGCCCAAGCCCTACTGCAGTTGATTGGGAATTATAAAAAGAAACAGCACGGGGACCAGCAGTTAGCGTAATGGCTATGTCGCTGGACTCCCATGTAGTAGATGGTGGTTTGAGTCCTGGACCCGGTGGCTTAAACTCACGCCGGGTGTGTGTGCGTGCATGCCCAAGATCCTGAGAGGAGAACAGAGAAGGGACTGCAGCATAGCCACCCCCCCCCCAGGGGTGATTTCTCGCTTTCTGTCTTTCTGTTTCTGTCTGGTGAGCGCATATGCCCTATGGAAAAACCTCTTAAAAAAAAAAAAAAAAAGATAAAAAAAAAAAAGAAACAGCACGAATCTGAGGTCTTCTGTCCAAACTGAGCACATTCCAATTTCTTCCAAGCTCTGAAAGTTGCTAAAATTTTGAAGTGAAAGAGCAGAGACCTCGGGCTAGCCACCAGAGAGCTGAAACATAAACCACTCACTAGGAAATGTCTGTGTGTAAACCCCACTCAGGGCTCGGGATTTAGGGGTGGATACAGGGGAGCACTGTGAAGAACGGTTAAGAAACCAGACTGGGAGGATGATGGAGGGATGCGGGAACCTGTGGCTCACTGGTTCATTACAAGATAAACCGAGTGAAATGAGGGACTTCAGAGTGGCAGCGAGAAAACCGTCTAGGTCTCAGAACAGGATGATGTGTCTGAGGTTAGCAACACAAGTCCCCACGGGAGGGACAGGAGCAGGGCCCAGAAGCCAAGGCGAGTTTGAAGACCAGGGCCGTGAAAGCACAGCCACAGCCAGGAAAGGAGACTGAAGAAGGCTCTGGCGAGTGGGGAGCCCTGGGACCCTGAGGATGGCTTTTGGAGGCAAAAAGGAAATGAAAGGAAGTGAAGCCTGGGCAGACAAGGAGGCCCGGATGTAGCCCTTTGGGGAAGCAAGACGCAGCCCATGGCAGGAGCATGTGCAGTCGGGCAGGACAGTTTCCATACAGACCCGCACAAAGGGGAGAAGGCAGAGACAGGACAGAGGGGCAGATCTCCATCTGTGGACCAAAGCCTGAGGCCGTGGAAGGGATGGGACCTGGGGACAATGAAGAGGCTCCAAGCCTCGTGGAGACCGCAGTAGCACAATGCACCCTCGCCGGGCAGACCTGACCACCAACCCCAGACAGGGCCGGTCCCGGCAGCCAGCTCCACGAGGCCAATTGGAGTGCGGAGCCCGTGTGGTGCCCAGAGGGTCACACTGGACTTCTGGGCAGGGGCCTCAGTATAACCAGGTATGTGGGTGCTGCTCAGGGGCCTTCCCTGAGGAAGGAGCCCCGATCACACATTCTTATGCTCTGAGTGACCCCTGAACCCACACTTTGCAGCGGGGCTAGCTCAGAGTCCGCCCACGGTGGACGACAGAGCGCCCTGGCTGGGAGGCCAAGTGTGAACCACACGGGACAGATGTCTCCTCCGGGACGAGGTCCTCCGTCCTCAACATGGTGAGATGTGGAACGCAAGGGCTAATACGCTGCTCCAGAGCACCTGGGGATGAAATCCTGGGCCCACATGCACGGCCGAGGCGGAGGGTCCTGGGGCTGGGTCCTCCCTCCAGCTAAGCAGGGAGCTGAGCTGGGGTTTGAACCCAGGTAGCCCGACATGAGTTCTTTCTGGGTTTTTTTTTTTTTGCTAACTAAACATCTAGCTTTAAAGAAAAACCATTTAATAGCATTAAGTAACGTAAGGGACGTTTAAGAATGACACCTGCAGTATCTGTAAATTTCCAAACAACACTGAGACTCCAGGGAGCTGCTGCCTGTGGCCAGGGCAGACTGTGAGGACAGAGGTCTGTAATTCTCAGGCCGGCATCCCATCCCACCTCTCTGCTCAGCCTCACAGACCTGCCAGTGACACCGGGTTCTTAACCAGAAGGTAGGGACATTTTTTTTAAAAAGAATTATTTCATTTTATCATCACCATCTTTTAATTTGATCAGGGAGGAACAGAGAGGGGGAGAGAAAGCAAGAAAGCAAGCCACCAGGTCTGGGACTCAAACCACGGTCAGCCATATGAGAGTCCAGCACCTTAACCACCACGCCACCTGGTGACCCCCAAGTATGAACCATTCTCATGCCCATAAAAACTAGTCCACGTTTTTGTTTCTTTCTTCCAACACTTGGAAATAGCTTTCCATGTGATAACTGTGAACAGGAAGCTGGGGATCAGGACCAAACAAGACAGCTCACAGTCTAGCAGAGGAAGACAGACAATGTTGGGTCTGTGCCTATTAAGGCAAGTCGCAGCTGAACAGAAAGGCCAGACAGAAACTGGAACCTGCAACCCAGTCCTGGTCCTCCTCACCTCACTCTCCTCCCCAACACGGAGATCTCCACGCTTTACACGTGAAGATCGAATCCACCTGTAGACTCTATCTTGCAGGAAATGTGTTCAAGGCCATGACTCTGTTAGTGAGGAAGACATTCAAAGAGGCTTTGCACTGAGAGATCAAACAGGTGACTATAGATAACTGAACTGTCACCTAGCAAAAACAAAGAGTCAAATTTCAAATAACTACTCGTAGGGACCACAAACGTTAATGCATCAGTTCACAACAGTGCGAAGATTCCAGGACTCTCTACTGCTCTGGAGCTGAGAGACCTTTACACACCACTGTGCGGGACAGCCAGGGTACATGGTGTTCGGTACCAAGGAGGTGGGGACTTCCTGGCTGCTAGAGTTCGGAAAACCTAGATTCTGTGAGCTGCCCAAGAGCCTGGTTTTGTAACGTCTCCACTTACAGGTGGTATGGGGAAAGACCATGTGAGTTTCCGAACAAGACAGCGCTGGGTCCATATTTGCTCTGTAACCCTGAGCGAGCTAGACTTGGGCTTTGTTTCTCCGTCTACGAAAGTGAGCACAGTGTCACCTCCCGTCAGGGATCAGGGATGGTCTCAGAGGGGATGACAGGGAAGATCCCATGACACAGCATGTGTCCCTTCCTGCCTCCTGACAAAGAAAGCTAAAGGCAGGCTGACCCTGTCGCGCAGTGGTCAACACTACACAGCGAGCCAGATCCTGCACAGCCTACCTCATTTCCAATCCCAGCTCGGGAGGCTGGGAAAACACGCAGGGCGCAGGTATGTGTGCCCCCAAATGTCTGCGTGTGACACAGCATGCTGGGTTGTTGGGAATGTCATGATATGCTTTTCCTATGCCAAAACGTCTCGTGACATTTCCAACAACCCAAAAGCAGCAGAGGAAAAGGGATTGCGGCGTGACCACACTCCGTCGAGGGGATGTTTTCTCCCTCGGTTGTTGGAAATGTCATGATATGCTTTTCCTATGCAAAAACCCAAAAGCAGCAGAGGAAAAGGGATTGCGGCGTGACCACACTCCGTCGAGGGGATGTTTTCTCCCTCTCTTTCTGGTGCGAGCATGTGTCCTCTGGCCATTAAAAAAGGAGGGGGCAACAGGTAAACTGTACCCACACCTAGGAACCATATGTCAAAATAATTCCAAAATCTAAAACCCTAGAACTTCTCATAACAGCTAGCTACTTCATGTCCAGGTTTTTGTGTAAATGAAAAGGATAAAAACCACGCAAATATTAATCAGCCAAGTTTATAAGAGTTCTACATAACTGACTTGACGTTTGCAAGTCAGTTAACATCACCCCTAACTTAGGGACGATAGTTCCTGCAGACGCACAGCTAGGTGACAAGGACCTCGCCTGTTCGTTAGTTTGCTCTCCACCAAGCCCAAGCAAGTGGTCAAACGAAGCAGTTCATTTAAGAAAGTCAAGCAAGTGTACGGATTTTAGCTCCAATGCTGAAAGGATGCCACCCAAAACTGTGGAAAGTACTTCAAGTGCATCTGACGATGTTTTGAAACTTAAGCTAACATCTTAATTTCGGAACTAAAACGAAGACTGAAAAATTACGGACACAGCCTGTCAGCTGGGACAGGTGCCCGCCCGAGCACTATCTCGCCATTCAACTGCATGGACCAAGTAAATTTCCCTGGAGGCTAGCGTCGGCTACCAGCGTGCTACAGGAGACAGGTGCCACGTCCGAGCCTTGCAGGCTATGACAGTTACCTACTGCACCTCTGGACTAACTCATCCTTAGATAAAGGTTTCGATGTCACAGTATCAGCCTTTACTTCTCCCAGCAGCGCCAAGACACAAGAGTAGGCTTATCTATTACAAATACACTTTCAAGATAGTACCTCTTTAGTATTTCTTTAAGGTCCAAGTTTTTCCTATCGAAGTCTTACCTGAAGCTACTTAAAAAGAAAAGCCTCGTTAACATCACACCATGTTTCTCTCCCTCATTTCTATCTTACTCCTCCCCTTCCTCCTCTGGCTCTGGGGTCGTCCCCCTTCCTCCCTCTCTGGACAACGCTGCAGGGGGCAGGATTAGTCCTAAAGATCACATGCTTGGTGAGACACTGAAATGAATGAAGACGCTGCACAACCAAAGCGAGATCCGTATTTTATGAACACGTTATTCCCGCGTGTCTGGATGACAAGTTTGATATACAAGATCCTTAAGTTCATTTTACAGATTCCAAATCCCAGTTGTTCAAAAGATGAGTCCTGAAACCATTGTGGTTGTAGCAAACGAATATATCAAAACAAAGAAAGACTTCATCCCAATATTTACATCTAAAACAGACTTGAAAAATAGGCTACTTATTAAGTGTGCTTGAACAAACCATGTGTGGAATTGAATTCCATTCATTCTGGAGTTAGTTTCTGCTAAATACTGACTGATGCTATAGTACCCTGGCAACTGAAGACTCTCAGTTTTCAACCGTTCCCAATCTACACTAAAAAAAACAAAACAAAAACACACAACTGTACACTTCTGACACGCTAATTTGAACCAAAGCAGTGGAAGGGCTAGTCTGTAAGGCAAATTACTGAGAAAAGGCCCGGCGGCTGTAACTCTGTGCTTACGTGTTACCAGGTATTCAAGAAAACTCTCTAGAGGTGACTACAACTTTATAATGACATCTTTCTGCATTATGTTCTACAAGTGTCACAAACTTAGATATTCACAAAAATGCTTTAAAATATATTCGTTGATCATGTAAAGGGTTTCTTTCCTAGGTTACAGCGAGCGAACAGAAACACCATGCGTTAGGTAGCACTCACAGAGCTTTTCCAAACAAACTACTGATCGCAAAGCCCAAATAAAAACTCCAACGCTTTATGTTACAGTGGAGAAAGCGGACAGCCCAGCAGCGCCAGGACAGGTGCTCTGACACCTCGGCCCCTTCCTGCAGCGTGATCAACAATTACACGTTAACGGCTACTTTATGGTCACTGGCTTTGGCTCAGGGGTTTAAATACTTCGACAGCATGGAAATATTTTTTTTTTGTTTATGTGTACTTTTATTTATTCATTTCTGTTTGTGTGGGCATAGGTGTGGTGGGGATTATACCAAATACGAGAATAATTCAGCTAGGAATTAAAGGGCCACCCGAATCTCATTTATATCTTTCTTATAAAATACATATGGGGGAATATGGCTTAAGACAGAGGGGGAAGCCTCTTATTTGTTCAAACTGCTTCACTTCACCTTTCATCCAGTCTGACAATAACACCAAACTTAATTTACTACCCAGGGCAAGAGTTAACTCTCTAAGAGGATTTTATGAAGTCAAATTTAATTCTGACATCTTAAGTGCTTAAATTTTTAGAATTTCTCAGTTTACTAAAAGAAATTACATCAACAACCAAAAACCCCAAAAGATTAGATTAAAAAAAAATGGTTTACTGTTTTAAAAAAATAGTCTGCTTTTTTTTTTTTTTCTTTCTTCCTGTTTAAACTGGATTAGAATTAGGGAGAATATATCTCTGCCCCTATCATTTGATTTTCTACTTAGTCTGTACACCAAGGCAACTTTTCTTTAAGAAAACAAACAAACGAACAAAACTTCTATTAAAGACAAAACCATTCCAGAGCTATCTCTGGGCCAGAGATAGGACAATGATGGATAATACAACAACTCAGTTTACATAAATGTACCTTTTCTTTCTTTCTTTCTTTTTTTTAAAAAGGTAGGATTAGGTTTTCCATCTCAAAGTGAGCAAATTTTGTTGCTAGAGAGATCCCGAAATTCTTTGAATTCACTTGGAAAGTTTTCTGAAGGTGCGCATTATAGTAAACAGCAGCAAAATACCAAAATAATTCTATTGCTAAAAAGCAGCTTCTCCTGCTGTGCCTTTAGAATACTGATAAAACAAAAAGAGTTACCACGAAAGGCTGATTTGTGCCAGCAGCTGGGATGTCAGCTATGCCATGGAAGAAACGCATTCTTTTCTTTACACAGCGCAGGGCAGGACAACTGTAATCGTATTGGGCAAGCATTCATTGAATTTTTTTTTTTTGGAGAGATTTTCACTGTAGGGTGCGTGCGCTCGCCAGACAGAGAGAGAGAGACATAGAGACAGAAAGCGAGAAATCACCCCCCAGGGGGGATGGTCACACCGCAATCCCTTCTCCTCCATTCTCCTCTCGGGATCTTGGGCACGCACGCACACGCGCCCGGCGTGAGTTCTAAGCCACCGGGTCCGGGACACGAACCGCGGTTGACTACGTGGGAGTCCAGCGACATAGCCATTACGCTAACTGCTGGTTCCCAGCATTCATTGAGTTTTGAGGGAAAAAAAAAAAAAATCAGGTGATATCAGAAAGGAAGAGACAATGGCACGCTGGGTATTCTAAAGGCAGGCTTCAGGTAGTTCAACGATGATTCTGGTAAGACCGACTGCTCACACACACACACACACGCACACGCACAGATTTTAATGGTTTAAAAAAAAACCAAATTGGTTACTTCAGGAAAACGAATGCAGTGCATTTCCAGCAACATCATCGCCACAGACTCTGCTTGGTCAGTCCACACATAAGCAGTAGTTGCCTTCTATGGTGATATGGCTTCTCTGCACTAATTCCCATCAGGCCGAAACACATTAGGGCAGGTTAAGTAAAGACTGAATTGTTGCACAAAGGAACATTTACTCATCAGATCCCACTGATCTCTTCTGTGCCCGTTTCCTGGGCAACCTTCTTGGTGAAGCTTTATCTAGAAGGAAAGAGAATGTCTTAAGTTTGCTTGACTCTTTTAAATGTGTTGGATTCAAAAGACATCTAAAAAGTATTTTCCTTCAACTTCACCATGATGTTCAACGCACATACACACGCACGCAAGCTTGCACGCAAGAATACCAGGTAATAATAAATAACTTGGGCCAGCCATTGGCATGGTGGTTAAGGCGACTGGATCTCAAGTGGCCAACTGCAATGGTTTGAGTCTCGGACCTGGCTGCTTGAAAACCAGGCTGGGCATGAGTGCACGTGTCCCAAAATCCCAAAAGAAGGGAAAAAATGAAGGCAGCACTGGGGCGTAGCTAATCCCTATGGGAGGGTTTCTCACCTCCTCCCTTCCTTCCTCCCTCTCTCTCTCTCCCCCTGTGAGGAGACACACCGTCTAGCAAATTAAAAAGAAAGAAAGGGAAAAAGTCTCTTATTGGCCACAGATAAGGTGGTTATTTTTGAAATAACCTTTAGAGGTAACTCCAATTAAAATGAAACTTTTTACAGATAAGGTAGGAAAAAGATCGTGGCTGCTACACTGTTGAAGACACTGCAAAGTCTTGAATTTTATAACCTAACATGTTTATATAAACATAAGTAAGCACTTAGAAATAGTTTAAAAGACAGGACATTTGCAGCTCAAACAATTTATGTTGGTTACAAATGAAAGATTTAATATTCACTAATGCAGTTTGCCTATTTTTGGCAATTTCATAAATTTCTCTGGAATAAGCAACAGGATAAAAAAACCTGGAGAGTGGGACCGGCAGCTAACGTAATGGCTCCTCCTGGCTACTAGTAGCTCCTGCTTGCTAGCTAGCACGTTCAAAGCCATCAAAGTTTGTAGCACAAAATTGTTACCCCTCAGATGTTCAAGTGTTTGCCAGCCCCTTTTCCCTTGAAGGTAAGTCAAAAGTCCTTGGCAAGGGCAAGGGAGAGAGAGAGGAAAAGTGAGATCGTCATCTCCTGGGGGGTTGGCCAAGCTGCAATTCCCTTCTCTACTCCCCTTTTCGGATTTTGGGTGCACATGCACAAGCTCGATACACCTTTAAAGCTGCCAGGTCCAGGACTCAAACCATACAGTTGGCCGTGTGGGATTTAGCCACCTACCGTGCCATCGTACTACTTGAAATTTTACACTAAGCTTGTATTGCTTTTGCAACAAATACGTATTTTTAAAATTTGCCAGAGGTTACATGCGCTCACCAGAGAGATTCAGAGACATACACAGAAGGAAAGTGAGAGGGCACTCCCCATGGGGAATGGTCACACCACAATCCCTTCTCCATCTCTCCCATCCTTTCAGGAGTTTGGGCATACATGCACATGCACCTGGTATGTTTTCCAAGCCCCCAAGTTCAGGACTTAAGCCACATGGTTGGCCAGGTGAGATCCAGCCGCCTTAACTGCCAGGCCACAGGCTGGCCCAATACATGTTTTTTAAAAGTCCTTCTATAATTGCAAATAAAAAATTTCCGCATACCTTTTGAAAGATTAAAACTTTAACAAACTGAATACATAGTAAAACTGGAATATGTTAGATACACTATCAGATAGTAGTGTAGGTTTATCCTTGTAATTTACAGTGGGTAGTTTACCCAACAAAACAGGGTAGTAGGAAACTGTCCCACTATTAAAACTGGCTGTCACACATTCACGTGCCGTTATACAGGCCCCTCAATACTCCAGCAAACACCAGGAAAGAAAGTAAACGCCTCACCTCTTCTACTCTGCACTGAAGCAACAGGAAAGAAGAGAGACAGGGAACAGATTAGGAACATAGAGAATTCACGTATTTGTAAATAATCTGCAGATCTGGACGCGCTTCTAATGAAAGCATAAACAATTCAATGCACACAATAAATCTCTAGTCTTCACTGATCATTAGATTCCAAGCAATGGAAAGAAAATGAATAAATGAACGTTAGAGAGTAATGATCAAACTACCGTGCCCTCCCACCAAATCTAAGGTGCTTCGCTTCCAGCCAACGTCAACCTCCCAGTGAAGGATGTGATACTTACTGATCTGATTCAGAGTTTCCTGAGGGATCCAGCTCATGTCAACATCGTTCTGATTTGATGTTCCCATTTCTACTTTCTGTATGGGTCTCTTGCGCTGAGAACATAAAAACTTATTTAAGGCATTCCATTCTAGCGAGCTGTTTAAAACATGCTCCTACCTCAATATTTTGTTAATCAGACAGAGAAAATCATGTCTAGCACTAACTATAAAGAATAAACTATGGGACCAGCAGGTGCCGTGGTGGTTAAGGCGCTGGACACTCCCACATGGCCAACCACGGTTCAAGTCCTGGACCTGGTGGCTTGCTTTCTCTCCCCCCCTCCCGTCTCTCTCTGGTCAAATTAAAATAAATGGATGAATAAATAAAATTAAATAAATAATTATTTTTAAAAAGGAATAAATTATGATGACATCTTCCTAACTATTTTTAGGACTGAGGGATCTTTTCCCCTTGTTATGAAACTTTTAATGTTATACCACTGGTAAACCAAAAAAGAATGTCTATCCATACAATGATTCCCTTTTTCTTTGGGAATCAAATAATCATCAAAGAAGGGCTCTCTTTCCACATTCAGTGAGGTCCCTGTGACTGCTGTCAGGCTGCATTCAGGCAGTTCCTGAATTATAAGCTACATACAATTAAACAGCCAGTAGGGATAAAAGCAAAACGAATACAAAAAAAATCTCATTTAAGCTAACAGCCTTGATTTAATCAAGGAATCTCGAACTTTCTCCCTACAATATTTGCGACAGAATTGCTGGCAAGTAAGTGATTCCACTTTATTGTTTGGTCTTGCACTAAAAACAAATAAATAAATAAACAATAAACCTAATTATCCACATAAGAAATAAAGAGTACTAATTACACTGTCCATAAATTAGATTGTGTGTCTCTACGAAGATAACTTAAACAAAAGACTTCATTAAAAAAAAAAAAAAAAAAAAAAGAGAGATCGGAGTTGCAGTTCTACCCGACATATAAATTTATAGCAGCATTTACAACTCTTACAAAAATAAGACAAAGTTATAGGAATTAACCTTTATGGACAAATAATTTCACTTTTAAAGAGAAAATGCTTTTTAATAATATTTATTGGTAAACAGAGATAGGACTGCTTGACTTAATGTTCCATAAACATTCACCAAAATGGCTAAGCAACTGTTTACAGAGTCTAGTGCATGTTATTAATAGAATGCATTTGACTCGGGTTGTGTTATACCGTCCCACTGAGAGAAATAGTATGGGTTTGATCCCAGGGGGTGGAAGTAAGCAGAGGAGGAACAGAGGGTGAATGAGGGAAAGGAGAAGAGGATGAGAATAAAGACTGGATGGAGGAACAAGCTGCGAGTCCAGAGTGAGAACCATAACGCAGCAGGCACTGGGGCGTTACCAGTTTAGGGCCCTAACCACACACACGAAAGTGTGAGAGCAAACATGGCCCAGTTCTACTGGGTCGCCAGGGAAGTCACGCCGCATTTTGGCATAGAAAAACATACGAAAATACATCATGACTTACTTTCCCAACAACCTAGTTATCTTTCTTTTCCAATAAAAGGAATCATTTACTACTTAAAAATTAATCCTTGGGTCAGCTCTGCAGCCTAGCCTAGCAGTTAAGGGAACAAGATCCCACACTACCACCTGGGGTTCAAATCCAGCCCCAGCAGCTTGAAAAATACACTGGGTGTCCATGCATGCTCCGAATCCTGACAGGATGGAGAAATGGAGGAGGGACCGAGTCATGCCATGCCCCACTAGGGCTGCTTCCACCCTCCCTCTCTGGCAGCACAGATGCCAATCAATTACAAAAAAATGATCAGGCCAGCAGTGGCGTGGTGGTTAAGGTGCTTGATCTCACAGGGCCAACTCTGCGGTTTGACTCCTGGACCCAGCAGCTTGAAAGACACGCTTAAGCACACGTACGTGCGTGCCCAGAATCCTGAGGGTAGTGGGGCAGAAGGGACCGCAGTGTGGCCATATCCCTTCGGGAGATTTCCTACTTTCTTTCTCTGTGTCTCTCTCTAGTGAGGCCCCTATGGCAAAAATCTTAAAAACAAAAAACCCTATAATTAGGAGTACTGAAAGAAATATAAAAGCTGGACTGGCAGAATAATATAGCTATAAAAAAGTAAACAATGACACTTTTGAGTCCGAGGAACAAAAATTCTAGCATACTTGAGAGTGACAGTAACAATAAGAAGATCGAGATTGTTCTAGAAGGTGGATACAAAGAACACCACGTGTGTGAAAGAAACCCGACTGCCGTACCCAAGGTTCCGTTTCCAGGTTTATTTTGAAAAGGCAAAAAACAAGGCTGGAAGTATGAGGGGGCTTCACAAAATTCACTGGAAAATGAAATTAAAGTACAAATTTATTTTGGTGCAAACGTTTCTGAAATCCATATGTAGTTGTTTTTCCTAAGACACATTTCCTGTGAACTTTCTGAAGACTCCACATATACAAACCTACAGAGAGACTAAGAACTGCATCGTGCCCAAGTTGGGACAGTAGCAACTTCTGAAATACCGTTAGAAGAGATATCCGTTTAATTACCTTTCTAGATTCCAGCAGCTGATGAAGGCCGACCACCACCAGAAGCCCAAGACCAGCAAGGAACATGTACATAAAGATTCTGGCATCAAAGGAGAAAGTATAAACTGGCTTTAATTCATAAGAAAAACCACCGCTAATTATGACCATAATTCTAACATGTGATTCAAGGTTTCCAAATACTTTGTGGGGACGAGGAAGAAAGTATTTTTAATTCAACGTAGGTCCAGACAAAAATTTTTCTTAATTTCCTTTATTTCACTTCTAAGAGTAATTAGTCATTTAAAAAGCAATTCTATGACTTTCCAAAATAAACAAAATTACTTTATAATACAGGCTGTGTTCAAAGCTCACACTTTAAAAAGAATTGCATTTGGGAGGCCAGTAGGTGGTATAGGGGTGCTAAACTCCCACATGGCCAACTGTGGTTCGGGTCCTACACCTGGAGACTTGGAACTCACACCAGGTGCGTGCGTGTGTGCGCTCAAAATTCCGGGAGAATGGAGAAGGGACTATGACGGGGCCATCTTCCCTGGGAGAGGGTGTGTTCTCACTTTCTCTCTGTAGTGAGCTCATGTGCCCTATGGCAAAAACTTAAAAAAAAAAAAAAAAAAACTCTGCGGTTTGACTCCTGGACCCAGCAGCTTGAAAGACACGCTTAAGCACACGTACGTGCGTGCCCAGAATCCTGAGGGTAGTGGGGCAGAAGGGACCGCAGTGTGGCCATATCCCTTCGGGAGATTTCCTACTTTCTTTCTCTGTGTCTCTCTCTAGTGAGGCCCCTATGGCAAAAATCTTAAAAACAAAAAACCCTATAATTAGGAGTACTGAAAGAAATATAAAAGCTGGACTGGCAGAATAATATAGCTATAAAAAAGTAAACAATGACACTTTTGAGTCCGAGGAACAAAAATTCTAGCATACTTGAGAGTGACAGTAACAATAAGAAGATCGAGATTGTTCTAGAAGGTGGATACAAAGAACACCACGTGTGTGAAAGAAACCCGACTGCCGTACCCAAGGTTCCGTTTCCAGGTTTATTTTGAAAAGGCAAAAAACAAGGCTGGAAGTATGAGGGGGCTTCACAAAATTCACTGGAAAATGAAATTAAAGTACAAATTTATTTTGGTGCAAACGTTTCTGAAATCCATATGTAGTTGTTTTTCCTAAGACACATTTCCTGTGAACTTTCTGAAGACTCCACATATACAAACCTACAGAGAGACTAAGAACTGCATCGTGCCCAAGTTGGGACAGTAGCAACTTCTGAAATACCGTTAGAAGAGATATCCGTTTAATTACCTTTCTAGATTCCAGCAGCTGATGAAGGCCGACCACCACCAGAAGCCCAAGACCAGCAAGGAACATGTACATAAAGATTCTGGCATCAAAGGAGAAAGTATAAACTGGCTTTAATTCATAAGAAAAACCACCGCTAATTATGACCATAATTCTAACATGTGATTCAAGGTTTCCAAATACTTTGTGGGGACGAGGAAGAAAGTATTTTTAATTCAACGTAGGTCCAGACAAAAATTTTTCTTAATTTCCTTTATTTCACTTCTAAGAGTAATTAGTCATTTAAAAAGCAATTCTATGACTTTCCAAAATAAACAAAATTACTTTATAATATAGGCTGTGTTCAAAGCTCACACTTTAAAAAGAATTGCATTTGGGAGGCCAGTAGGTGGTATAGGGGTGCTAAACTCCCACATGGCCAACTGTGGTTCGGGTCCTACACCTGGAGACTTGGAACTCACACCAGGTGCGTGCGTGTGTGCGCTCAAAATTCCGGGAGAATGGAGAAGGGACTATGACGGGGCCATCTTCCCTGGGAGAGGGTGTGTTCTCACTTTCTCTCTGTAGTGAGCTCATGTGCCCTATGGCAAAAACTTAAAAAAAAAAAAAAAAAAGGAAACTGCATTAGGTTCTGTCTACAAATCTCAAATTTATAGGCTATTTTGCACAGTTTGATTAAAAAATTATTTCAGGTTGGGGCCAGCAGACGGCATGGTGGCTGAGGCACTGGACTCCCACATGGCTGATCGTGGTTCAAGCGTCGGACTCAGAGGCTTGTTTTCTCATTTTCTCTATCTCTTGAGTGTCAAGTTAAAAAAATCATATCAAGTTAAAAAAAAAATAAAATAAAAACAAATAATTCTTAAATTATTGTAGGTGAATTACAAATAAATGCGCAGGACAAAGTGATTCATCAATTAGAAAGAACACTCAGAATTTCCAAGATTAAAATTCTGTAGTTTGGGAACCAGCAGTTAGCATAATGGCTATGTTGCTGGATTCCCACGTAGTCGACTGCGGTTTGCGTCCCGGACCCGGTGGCTTAAAACTCACGCCGGGCGCGTGTGCGTGCGTGCCCAAGATCCCAAGAGGAGAATGGAGGAGAAGGGATTGCGGCGTGACCATCCCCCCTGGGGGGTGATTTCTCGCTTTCTGTCTCTATGTCTCTCTCTGTCTGTCTGGCGAGCGCACGCGCCCTATAGTGAAAACCTCTCCAAAAAAAAAAAATAATAATAATAATCTGTAGTTTATGTCCTCAACAGTACTCTAAGAGACACGCAACTCAGCTTAGGCTGAGGACCGGCTCAAGCATGGGGTAGAAAAACACTTAGAAAAAGAACAGAAAGCAAACTATCATCTTCTCAAAGATGTTCCCTTGTTTTTGGCAGTTTCAACTACCTTTCTTAACTTGGTATTGATAGTTATAAGGGGCTGACTTTGTACACAACAGTAATGTGCTGTCCAAGAGAAGCCGGCTCCCACATGGCGACGGCAGTTCAAATCCCTGGCCTGGTCAGCCCAAGACACGTGCATCTGATGGGCTGGTGAACTGGAGAAACGGGATTACGGTATGACCAGACGCTGTGGGGTGCTCCTTTCTATTACGTGTGAATGCACAAGCTTCTATCACAGCTGTAAGACTAAGTTCGGATCTAGAGTCAGGATTTCAGCCCCATTTAACACCATATGCTGAGACCGGAGCGAGCCCTCCAGCCCCACCTCGGGAAAGGGACAGTCACACGCCAAAGTCACTTACGTCTCTCCATCGAGCCCATCCTCCCTTTCAATAACCGTGACTGTTTGATTGAAGACAGCATCTTGGAAGACATTGCCCTGTTTAAAGAACAGGTCACAAAGTGTGAAATGCACTGGAAGAATGAAAACTTGCTTACGATTTCTTAAAACTGTTACCGTAACAGATGTTCTATGGCTTTCTCATCACAGGTCAGTAAGACTCGACAAAGTCATAGGTACTTACACCTCTCAGTGCCAGGAATTCAACCTCGTGCTCTTTTTGCTTACAGAATAAAAATGTCTCCCACTTTGCCAAACTCAACCTCCAGTTTAGAGGTTGCGGGTAGAGGGGAGTCAGAAAAACAGAGTGAAAGCAAGATGAAATGTGTAGAAAGTATTCTCACGCCAGCATCGGCTCTTTCACTGTTTGCAACCTTCCAAAATGAGGGGGCGTAAAAATGTACAGTCGTAGATGCTGCAGATTGTTTTTTAAAAAACATTATTTTATTTAACGTTATTTATTTATTTATTTTAATTTGACCAGAGAGGGACAGAGCAAGAGAGAGGGAAAGTGAGAAAACAAGTCACCAAGTCTGGGACTTGAACCATGGTCAGCCACGTAGGAGGCCAGCACCCTTAACCACCACGCCACCTGCCGGCCCCGGCAGCAGATCATTTTAAGAACGAGATCTAAACAAGTCAAATTCATGTTCTACACTGATATAGGTTACAAGCCAATTTCTTGATAGTAAATGGATTGGTGAAGAAAATATTTTTCTGGGACCAGCAGTTAGCATAATGGCTATGTCGCTGGACTCCCACGTAGTCGACCGCAGTTCGTGTCCCAGACCTGGTGGCTTAAACTCACACGGGGCGCGTGGGCGTGCGTGCCCAAGATCCCGAGAGGAGAGTGGAGGAGAAGGGATTGCGGTGTGGCCATCCCCCTGGGGGGTGATTTCTCACTTTCTGTCTCTCTCTGTCTGTCTGGAGAGCGCATGTGCCCTATAGCAAAAACCTCTCCAAAAAAAAAAAAAATTTTCTGTGGTGATCTGAAAACAACAGCCAGTTCGACACAATTTCAGTTCTCAAATTACGGATGATGAGGCAACACAGACACTGGTTGTCCTCAGTATTTTAGGTTTCTCACGAAAGTAATACTTAGTCACAACCATCACTTGCTAAACTGTAATTATAAAATTTCCCTTCAAGACCCTTCGATTTGCACTTCTCTACTGGCAATTCTAGGAAGCAAAATATACGGGTGAAAATCCCACTTGAAGGGCTGCAATGGCATGTGTGTGCCGTATATGTAAGTGAATTCTCTCTGGGAACACGCTGAGAGAGAGTGTTCTTCAAGGTACTTAACTAAAAATGGAAAAGGCTTATTAACATTGGTCAGCAAGAAAGTCACGGTATAGAAAAACACAGAAACGTACGCCGTGGGTTTCCTCGTGACTAATAGTATTTTGAAGAAAAGAACAAAAAACCTTCCTCCTCCTCGTCCTAAGTAACTATTATTCTTTTTAAAGGAAATCTTGGGACTAGCAGATGGAGTAACAGACCCAGTGGCTTCAAACGCTGAGCGTGTGCACGTGCGTGCCCAAAATCCCAAGAGGAGAAGGGATTCTGGCCTGGCCATCCCCTCTGGGGGGTGATTTCTCTGTCTCTGTGGTCAATGTGTGCACCCTATACCAAAAATCTCTCTTAAAAAAAAAATAAAAAGGAAAACATGGTTGCTGCCCAAGACATTTAATCTGGACATACGATAAAGATGTTAGCACTAGGGTGATGTAAAGTTTCAAGAAGCTTCCGAGAAGGGACAGAATTTCCTTCTCTGAAAACTGAAGAGAATGGTTCAGCTATGTTCTCATCGGAATGACAGGACAGGTAGCACTTGAAGTCAACCAGCAGCAGTGACACTGCAGTGGGCTCTCAGTCAGTAACGAAATAGGAAATAACACACATTAAAAACTTCAAGACTGGGAGACCAGCAGTTGGCGTAATGGCTATGTCGCTGGACTCCCATGTAGGCGACCGTGGTTCGCGTCCTGGACCCAGGGGCTTAAAACTCACGCTGGGCACGTGTGCGTGCGTGCCCAAGATCCCGAGAGGAGAACGGAGGAGAAGGGACTGCAGCGTGGCCATTCCCCCTGGGGGGTGATTTCTCGCTTTCTGTCTCTCTGTCTCTCTCTGTCTGTCTGGCAAGCGCACACGCCCTATAGCAAAAACCTCTCAAAAAAAAAAAAAAAAAACAAAAAACCCAAAAAAAACAAAACCCAGAAAACCTGCAATACATCAGAACTGAAATGAGGACATTTGGTTTTCATCAATTAAAATCGGAAACCACAAACGTGGCTACTGAAACTGTCTTGAAACTATCCGGTTATATCTTCTCTATCTACAGGTATATATAAAGTGGTGAAAAGGGGGCACTAAACACATTATTTACACAAGTTCATAGAAAATTCACATAATGAAAAAACTACTCATAGATTTCAAAAAGTTTTTGCGTGAAAATACACCTGTGCTCTACTTCCGTTTTCCCACCAGCTTTATGGCGCCGCCATGCGCTAACACTTAAATGACCAGCAGACCTCACTGTGGCTTCTGCTTTCCCTCTTAAGATCCGCGTCTGCTCTCATAGACACACCTCACTAGAGCTGTCCAGTGTGTGTCGCCGATCGTGCTGTGGGTGCCCCGCCCCCCGGGACTACAGACTTGAAGTCAGAGAAGTGCAGTGTATCTTAGCCTCTCTGGTGCCTGTCAGTTTCCAACCACAAAGCGGGAAACGGGAGGGATAGGAGGTGACTAGTTAGACGCCGGCTGCCCCATCCGTCTCTAACCTAACAACGTGAAGCGTGTGCAGCGCCTTACGTTCAGATCTTTGTAGTTCAGGTTGATGACCAGCCCGAACGGCCGCCCCCCCATGGGCTCTGCGGGGATGAAGGAGTACTCGAAAGTCGCCTGTCGCTGAGGTGGCACCACCGTGCTCAGAGGGAGAGCTGTGAAATTCTGGATATAAAACTGGTAGTCCTGAGGGTAACGGAACGAGGCGTCCAGGGATTCCACGATGAAGTCTTCTGTGCCCTTGTTTGTAAAGCCTACGAGGAACTTCACGATGTTGTTTGCTGGAAAATCTGAGAGATAAAATGGACCAAAAAATGAGAACATGCTCAAGGAATACAAAATAAAAAACAGACGTGACTGAAGGATTTTGGCACCCTTTCCTTCTCCACTTTTCTTGCTTTCAGAATCCTTTCCTTCACTGGAGGGCAAGTGCGCTCACCAGAGAGGAAGAAAGTGAGGGAGAGGAGGAGAAGGCACCACATCCTCACCCCTCTCCCCCAATGGGGAATGAAGACACAGATCCTACTTACACAGCTGTGTACCTGACCTTCGGACGTCCCCTCCCTGGGGCCTCGCAAGACGCTCTGTCCTTCCTATGCCACTCTCAGCTGTGGCAGCCTTTGTCCCCGCTCTCCCTGTTTCACCCAGAGCCTCCCTCCCTACATCCCTTCCGGCCTTTTAACAGGGTGCTGAGCAGTGACGGTCTCAGAGGCCCCATGAAGGGCGTGCCACACACAGGGCAGCACGGACTTCATCTCACCAGACGCCTGCAGTGAAGGGCATGCCGACACGGGGGCACACCGGGACCGTCCTTCCAGGCAGACGGCACAGGTCTGCTGTGTAACTGCAACTTCCCAGCACTGCCTCTGAAACCAGCTCCTTGGCCCAGTGTCCCTGCCTGCCTGTTCCTCAGTGCGCTGATGAAACAGCAGCAGAAGACGAAGCTCAGCATGAAGATGAAGACACCCGAGTGGAAACCACGTAGATGTTGAGGGGAAGGTCTTGGAAACGGACGGGTGGCATGGAGCAAGCCACAGGAACACCCATTACACCGGGATGGGTGCACCGATGAGTCTCAGCTGACTTCCGCAGGAAAGCGAAATACCAGTGCAGACGGCAGGGGAGGCAGGCAGGCCTAGGCACCACCTAGTCAGACAGAGGCTGGCCGGTACATACGGGCCGCCTTCCTCCACAAGTCCGACTCTCTCCAGAGTGATGGGGGCTGCGGTTTTAGGAGTTAGAAAAGGGAACCCGTGGAAACAAGCGCAAGGTCGCCTGCAGCAAAGCACTTGCAGGACACGAAGTGCCCGGGGCTGAGATGTGGGGGGTGTGGGGTGGAGTCTCTGGGCCAGCTCAAGAGGGCAGAGCCCGACCAGGGTGCATGGGGGATTCCGAGGCTGACCTGTACGCTTTTCACCAAGTACTTGTAGGTACTACGTGTGGCAGAAAAGACGGTGGTGACTGAAGACCTTAGGCGTTACCAACACTTCCCCCAGAAAAGCACGCTTGTCATGTGAAAACTCCTGCATCTGAGTGAGAACACACACACACGTTACCTTCTCCTTTCACGAAGAGGATGGTGGTATCTGCACTCGGAGAGGCTTCAGGTTCACCAGACACATCTTCTTCCTCTTTGTCTTCTGCCTGGGAAGAACAGCATTAAAAGGGATCACCATGGGAGGAAAACGTATCATCATTTAAAATACCCGGTTCAGGTCGGGTCAGCCAAAGCGGTGAGGGTTAATGTGGCTGGAGCCCACATGGCCGACTTAAAAAAACATACCGGGTGCGTGTGCGTGCATGCCCAAAATCCCGAAAGGAGGGGGAGGAGGAAGGCACTGCAGCATGACCCTATCCAGGGGGTGCTTTCTCATTACGCCTCTACCCTGTCTCTCTGGCAAGTACAGGCACCCCCTGACAAACACAAATGAGGGAAAAAAAAAAAAAAAAAAAATCAAACAAAAAACCCTCAGCTCCACTAGACTTGGGACAGTATAAGAAGATTCTTCTCAAAGTTCATGGAAACATGCAATTAAAGTACAAGTTTATTTTGGTGCGAAACATTTTGAAATCCATGTGGGCTCTGTTCCTAATAGACACTTGCTATGGACTCTTAGAAGATACTCTGCAGCTGACAAGCGTGGGATGAACGGTAAACACTGAACTGTTTTGGACACTGACACTGAGTGTACTCGCGGAGCATCTTGATGGCCCTATCCTGCAAGGAGCTACAAGTGCAGTGGATAGAGACAAGATCCGCAAGGTGGTGATGCTGAAACCGCAGGTTCCCTCGGCATGGACAGGGGAAGCCAGGGAAGAGGCAGTGGAGAGGCCAGCAGCAGCTGGGCAGGGGACCCAGCTGAAAAAACTAAGGGCCATGGGACCAGCAGTTAGTCTAATGGCTCTGTCGCTGAACTCCCACGTAGCTGACTGCAGTTCGAGTCCCAGACCCGGTGGCTTAAGCTCATGCTGGTTACATATGCATGTGTGCCCAAGATCCCGAGAAGAGAAGGGATTGTGGCGTGGCCATCCCCCCTGGGAGGGTGAGTTCTCGCTTTCTGTCTGTCTGTCTCTGTCTTTCTGGTGAGCACACATACCCTATAGCAAAAAACCTCTCCAAAACAAAAAACTAAGGGCCAGCCTATGGCATGATGGTTAGGGTTACTGACTCCCACGTGGCCAGCTAACCGGTTCAAATCTTGGACCTGGTGACCTGAGAAACCCACAAGCCTGAGTGTGCCCAAAATCCTGAGAGGAAAACTGGAGGAGACTGCAGCACTACCATCCGCCACGAGAGGGGCTTTCTCACGTTCTCGGGCTCTCTGTCTATTTCCAAGCAAGAGTCCTCTGGCAAATTAAAATAAAACAAAAGAGGGGACCAGCAGGTGGCATGGTGGTTAAGGCACTGGACCACTCCCACAAGGCCAACCACAGTTCGAGTCCCGGACCTGGTGGCTTGCTTTCTCACTTTCTCTCTCTGTCTCTCTGGTCAAATTAAAATAAAATGAATGAATAAATAAAATAAAATAAATAATTCTCTAAAAAAAAAAGAAAAACACGCACTATGTATGAGGATCTAAAAAAATTTGTTTATACCAAAGAAACTCATATTTAATTTCATTTTCCCCTTAACTTCAAAAATCCCCTGGTAATTATATAGTACAGTAAAAATTTCAGAGCTGGACAACAACTAAGAGATCTTCACTGAGATAAATTACTCCCAATGAGGGGCGGTCACACCACAATCCTTTCCCCCCCATTTCTCCATCCCGTCAGGACTTGGGGCATGCACGCACGTGGGCCCAGCACGTTTTCCAAGTCACCATGATTCGAACCAGTCAGCAATGGAAGATCCGGCTTTCTATGCACAGAACCCAACCACTGCACCATCGGGCTGGACCCACAAGCAAGGGTGGTTTTTGTGTTTGTTTTTAAGTAAGAAAGCAACTCCTGGGGAAATGGCCATGCTGCAATCTCTTCTCCTCCATTCTTTTCTCGGGATTTTGGGCACACATCCCTGGTGTGTTTTTAAGCAACCGGGTCCAGGGTAGGACTCAAACCATGCAGCTGGCCATGTGGATTCAGCACCTCAACCACCATGCCATCTGCTGGCCCCACAAGTGAGGATTTTAATACCAACATTGCGTGCGTGTGTGTGTGTGTGTGTGCGCGCGCGTGTGTAATCCAGATGTACCGTCTATATATTCCAGATGTATTAAGTAGCATATAATACCAACCAAATCTGTGGGCTCATCTTCTTCCACTTCAGCTTCATCATCTTCATCTTCAATTATTGAATCTTCCACTGTTTCTTCATCCTCTGTAAGATCCTGAGCGTCTGCTAATGAGCCTAACAAAATATTAAACAGTCAACCTTTACCCTAGAATGCCAATTTTTTTATACACTCAGGAATAGGCAAGAAAATGTACCCCTAGGAACGTCTCATCTCCCAGTTCATTTGAATGATGCCAAATTACCGTACATTTAAGGATATTTATTTTATTTTACTAAAAGTCTTGACAACTGCATATTTTCTTTTCATGGGAAATGCTGTTTAAATTTTAGAAGCACCCAATGGCCGGAAAAATGACCTGTTGAAACTAAAGGTACAAGAGGGCTGGAAAGTGGTGCAGAAGTAAAACACCATGGTGACCTTCTCACAAGGCTGACCCATGTGGGAAGGTTGTAGGTTCACGTCCTGGGACCGCCCTAAACACTGGGGATGTCTGTGCCCGTGACTAGGGGGCACATAACAGCATCAGGGCACTGTTGAAGGGTGCTGTTTGTCTCTGGTATTGGACCAAAAAAAAAAAAAAAAAAAAA